CTCGTCGCCGTGCTGCGTTCACGCCGCCCGGCCGGTCCCGCTCCGATGCCTTCGAGGGTGTGCCCGTTTGCACAGTCAGGATTTGTTTTAGGTAAATAACCAGAGCTCCCAGCTTTGGCAAGTTCTTTCTGGAGTCGTTTTAGCCTCACGTCATTCTTACTTTTTTTTTTTCTTTTTTCCTTTTTTAAATCCTAGACCCATAAATTCGCGGAGTTAACATCTGTGGTGATAAACACAAGACTCGTCGTTCTTTCCATTTCATAAGCGGTTTTAGTCAGAAACATGACTCAGGAAAGCTGGCAGTTTGTTTGTTGCTCCTGGCTTCTCCATATTTGTCTCAGGACGCAGGCTAAACGCAGGATCTTGTTTCCAAGTTGTTAACAGCGAATCCAAAGCGCTTGGTTATGATCCTTTCCTCTGTTAGTTGTCAGTAAGTTGTCTGATTACTTTGGGCTCATTGTAGGAAAAGACTTGGGGACAATGATACACTTGTAATGACCATTCTTGATTCTACAGATGGTTGTTTACCACAGGTTACATATTGGGGAACAAAATAAATACTTTTGTGATTTAGCAAATATTTTCCTGCTAACATTGAAGAAGATATAACGTAGTTTTTTGTTTGTTTGTTTTAAGTAAAAAATTATAGCAGCATCAAAAATATACACTTCTTAATATTACCACTAATTTAAAAGTTTCTTTTAATACTGTGCGTATGGCCCACATGAAGAGCATATTTTGGAAGAAGATTTTATCTTTGTGTTTATTATTTAGGTAATGTCTGACTTACCAGATGTCCTTCAGGCTTTCTTATACTTAGATCCACCAGAATGTTCAGACCTACAGAAAGGGATTTGAATGTCCATTTTCTCACTCTCCCGAGGATGATGGTACATAGTTCCTTCTAGATGCAAGGGAGGAAGGGCCATTCAATCAGGGAGTGCCGTAGAGCATTAGAGTTTCATTCTCTTGTAGAACAGTTGAGAAGGACTCTTAAAAATTTATAGCCAAGGGAATGGCTTCCTTCACAAAGTAGACAGCAACCACTTACTCAGAATTTGTATGATTTTTAATGTCTGTGTTGTAAATACTAATGAGGATTTTTTTTCCGAGATGAGGTTTTTGAAACACTCGAGTTTCTAGTTATTTCATATTTCAAAACAACTCAGGTGACTGAAGAGTATCAAGTTTATATTCTTGGGTGATCTTACTGCTGTTGCTGTCATCTTTATGTGTTATTTATAAATCTAAAGGATGACAGTAGATGAAGTAAGGTGGTAAATTATATTCAAGGAGCGACGAACTTTTGAAATTACCTGGGACAAGCTTAATTTTACAAATTATTTAGTAACAAAGATGTCACTATATCAATGTGATCATCTAGAACACAGTTTAATAGTTTGACAGGAAATACTTAAAGCACATTACCTTCCATAATAGACATTTCATATGGCCGGTGGATGCCACCGCTGCGCCTTCTCCAAGGAGGCCCCACCTGACTGACCACACTTTTCTCTCTAGCATCCATCCTCATCTGTCATAGCATATATTTGCTGCTTGTCTTCTCTACTTGAATGTAAACTCTATGACAGCAGGATTTTTGTTTTGAGTCTCGCATAATGTACACTCAACAGCTTTTTTCAAAAGTCCTCTCCCGAGGAAATGCTTTTCACTGATTTTAGAGAGAGGAAGGGAGAGAAAGAAAGCGAGAACTAAAGAAAGAGTTGCCTCCTGAACATGCTCCGACCAGGGATCAAACCTGAAACCCAGGTATGTGCCAGTACCCTGACCTATAATCAAAGCCGCCACCTTTTGATGCATGGAACCACTCTCCACCCAATGGAGCCACACTGGCCAGGGCAACAACTATTCTTTGGAATGAATGGATGAGTGGCACTAATCATTTCACTCTCCCTCACATTGCTTTTTAAACTGAGGCAAGACTCTATGCCACCAATATTATTGTAGTTTACAGGAAGCAATGGGTAATTGAATCATTGAATAAATGTGGTGTTTGTGGAAAGGAAGGACTAGGAAAATGACCCTTTATATATAGGGGGTCTTCCAGTAAGGAAGAAGGCTGTCTGGAACCCAACGGGAGAAAGAGAATGCTTACTCTGAGCCTTGAGATTGAAGCATGGTGAAGTAAGATTCAAACCAAAACCAATGTTACCTGGAGAAACTGGATCTGAGTAAATGCTGAACTATTTGAGATGTTTAAATCTATAAACTTGTTCCTTGCCTAATTGTTTAGTTTCTATCCCAAGCATGTCTTGTGTTGTTAATAAGATTAGTTTGTGTACTTGGAGCTGATCTGAAACTGACAGGTGTAGAGGGAGGGAGAGAGAAGGCCATTTGTGTTTGTGGTGGGGTTGGGGTTGGAGTTGTTAGTTGTTGTTTTTTTCAAATATATCTTTATTGATTTCAGAGAGAGGAAAGGAGAGAGAGACAGAAACATCAATGATGAGAGAGTCGTTGATTGAGCCCTCAGCCTGGGCATGTGCCCTGACCGGGAATCGAACCCCGATCGTCTGGATCCTAGGTCCACACTCAACTGCTGAGCCATGCCCGGCTGGGCTGAAGTTGTTAAATTTTAAGAGAAGTGAAACAGGAAGTCTTTGAAGGAAAAATTACCCAACCTTTCGTATTGTAATTGGCACAAAATTGCTTTGGAAGCTTTCCTAGGAGTGTCTTTTTTCACATGGGAATGGAAAGTTCTAGGGAAAAGTTATAACAAGTATCAGAAAGGAAATAAGAGCAGGCGCTACCTTTCAGCTCAAGGCCTCAATATCTTTTACTGTTTTTGTACGTGCCTACTCAAGCAAAGGCGAAGAGGGGGGAAATAGAAGCTGGAAGATGGGGTATACTTAAGCCAGGACCTGAAAAGGAATAGGGACGATTCAGATACAGATGCTTCCCTTTCCCCTCTGGGTCCAGGCATACTGTAATGGGCACAAAGTTTACCTTAGTGGGAGTTGGCAGGACATACACCATACCTGAGTGGAGCCTTTAAAGCAGTGGTTCTCAACCAAGGGCGATTTTGTTCCTCTGGGGAAATTGGCAATGTCTGGAGACATTTCTAATTGTCACAACTGGGGCGGTGGTGGTGGTGGGCTGTTTAGGGGTACTAAGGTCAAGTGGTTAGAGGCCAGGTATGCTACTGAACATTCTGCAATGCACAGCATTGCGCAGCATTTTGCCACAATAAAGCATTTGTCCAAATAATTTTGATGTTGAGAAACTGGTTTAAAGTGTACCCATGTGTGTCAGGTGATTCAACTAGGGTTACTGTGTCAGTGAAGGTTATTTTGTCTGTAAACAACAAAACCCTGCTCTGTTTAACTTCGGTAATAAGGTAAATGTACCCAAAAGGTATTGTGGTGAGGTCACAGAATAAGGGGAAGGGAAGGAACTAGCTAGCTCCTGGAACCTTTTGGGAAGAGTTCTTGAACCTCAGCACTCTTGACATTTTGGACAAGATAATTCTTTGTTGTGAAGGATTGCCCTGTACATTGTAGAATGTTGAGTACCATCTCTCATCTCCACCCACTAGATGCCAATAGCACATCCACAGTCTTGACAATGAAATATGTCTCCACACGTTGCTAACTGCCCCTGGGGGCAGAATCGCTCTTGGTTAAAAACCACTGCTTTAGGGTGCTGTCCCATCTCTCATACCTCCCAGTCTGTGGTCTTTCCTGTCAAGTTTCAGATTCTTGGGAGAGAGAATCTGTTTGGCCCAGCTCTATATATCCATGGATCAATTAGTAATGGCAAAGGATTATAGGTACAGCAAAGATATGGCCATAGAGAGAAGTAGTATTTTGAGTCAGGCTTGTTGTCTTTAGTAGGCACTGAACTAAATTAGATGTCAGAGGGTCTTGTTTGCTATGTTCAGGAAATTTAACTTCTTCCCAGGAGGTGACTGCTAATAAGGAATTCCAGCCAAAAGGAAGACATGATCACCAAAGATGCCTGGTTGTTAGTTTGGCTTTTGAAGTCCAGGGTTCAGGAGCAATTGTCTGGGGTGGAAATACAGGGTCTGCATAGGGGCTCTGATTAACTTAAACAGAAAAGTGATGTATTCAAAGGAGGTCAGTATCCCACAGAATTTATGGGAAAGTTAGAGAACCAGACTTGGAAAGGGACTTGATCCAGGCTAGCTTCAAGCATCTAGGTAGGAGAAACTACCTGACATCTCAGCAAGACATGCTCCCTAAACTAAGGGGAAGGAACAAATAGAAAGGAAGTATTTGCAATATTTGTTTAGGAGATCAGGGAGGTTTGAACACTTGGCAGAATCTTGTGACTGAATGGCAAAGTA